TATAAAAGCTAGTCATAACCCCACTACATTGATTTCATGGTTTACTAGTGGTTTGAGACCCACAGTTTGAAATACTCTGTTCTAAAGCTTTAGTTTCCTCATCTGTAAAATGAGGATAATAACATTACTTTCCTCATACAATTGTGTGAATATTGACTCAAATGTTTATATAAAAGCTCTTGACTGGGGACATAACAAGTGCTCAGTGAATATCAGGTGTTTTTGGTACCCAAGGCAGAGCACTAGCAGTTAAAATATTTCTCCTACCTCAGGTTCCAGAAGGAAACTCCCAACAATCATACCTCTCAGGAACCTGCATGTGAATCAGTTGGATTTTCCCATTGGGCACGCATAGCACCAAATGAGTTGCACTGAAGCTTCTGTCATGAATACAATCAATACACCTTGTTTCCTTCTAACACCCCTGCAAGGCTTGTAAGAAAAAAAGGCACACCTCAGGAGTTCCATTTAGCCATTGCAAATGGCGCCACCGCAAAGCCCTACTTCCGTTTCTTAGTGGAGGTGTCACTGACTCCCTCAAAGGCTTACAGCTAATTAAACCAAAACGGGGAAGAGGAGGATTCTTGATTAAAGATGCAAGGCTAGGCTCAACCTGAACAGGGTTCAGTGAATAGGAGAGAAGACAACTTATGAATTCTTCAGTGTTGCTTGGCTCAGAAGGTAGTTAACTTGCTGTCTGGTTGACTTTGCAACTACTTCTAGTTAAAGGGTTCCAGGGGCCTAGAAGATAAATAACCAGCAAGGTATCATAACAATGAGGACAGAGCAAAATGTTATTTCCACCCTCCTGTGCCCTCAGTGGCCATTTTCCAGCCCCAGGGCAGGCTTCCACATAATGCTGACTGGCATCTGAAGACTAGCCCTGGCACAGCATGCTGGATGATGATGGTGTAGGACTGCAACCTTCCATCTGAGTCACTGGTAATTCCTGCCCCTGATTCCAGCCAGGATGTGGCAAACTTTCCCCCGTTTTAGTCGAACCATGCCAGGTCAGTAATTCTGACAGCCACAAACTGAATTTTGAACCTCTCCAATTTCTGAATAACTAACAGAGAGAGTGAATTTAATGGAATATGGTCAGATTGAAGTGATCAATTCAGTACTGCAGGAGAAGAGTTCAGGCTGGGTCAAAGACAAGTGCCTAGCTCAGAGCACTGCAGTGGACATATGGGAAATATTAAGCTGTCTTTTAAAAGGTATGCTTAAGGGTACAGTTGGTAAATCAAGGGAGATAGAAACAAATATTCATCTAGCACCTATTAGCTATCAGGCACTGTGTATACATTCTCTATTTCTTACAAAATATAAATATATCCTAGTTACTATCATTCCCATTTTTGAAAAGTGACCATGAAAATTAACTTGCCCAAGATCTTCAAGCTAGTAAACATCAGAATTAGGATTTTATCCCGGGCCTTTCTTGTACAGAAGTTTATGCTCTATCGGCCATATTATACCCCCCCCCCCAGTAAGAGTAAGTGGTGCAAGAGAAAGTAAAAAGGTAAAAAGGAAGAGAAAGGGGACAAATTACACACACACAGGGAAAAGAATGGAGAGAAATGGATAAAAATCAGAAATGAGAAAGGGAAGAAATGCAGAGAAGGAGAAGAAGAAAGAATGGCTGGTAAACACCTTGGCTTTTCAGCAGAATTTGATGATCCAGAACTTGAAATGTGTTATAAGTTCCTCTGGTCTGGAGCCAATATTGGTTCAGTATGGTAGAGCTGTGCTGCCTAGCATCCTGAGCACAACTCTTTCAAGGGGATCGTCAAGCTACTTGAAGCAAGAACTAGGAAGCCAGCCTATCTTCTTACTCAGTGGCAGTGAAAAAAGAGTCTCGATGGAGTTTCTCATGCTCCTGAAGGTGTCCCATTAGTTTGCAGTTATCAAAAAGGAAGCTTCTTAGGACCTATCAATATTGGATCATCTTCCTTCTCTGGCCTGGACACTCGTTTAAGTCTTTTACCAGCAATGAACAGATGTTTAAGGGAAGAGACAAACAATAGTCAAAAGGCTGTTTTATGACTTTTATGCTACGGTCTCTAAACTCCATCTTCCCCTTGATTTTCCGCTTTGTGATGCTGAGGCTTGCACTGAAAACCAGTTTCGCTTTACCAGTTCCATCTGTATTCTATTAGGCTCTGCCAACAGGGGGTGCTAGAGGGAGACTGGAAGACAGGAAGAGGAAGAAGAGCCTTGTTCCTTCCTGGTTGTTTGCTGGTCCTGTCAGCACCACCCCAGCAGAAGTTAGCTCCAGTTTCCAGTTTTTCCTCACTCCTGGAACCATCCTCAACTTACTCTGTCAGTGATATCAGCATCTGCCGGCCTCAGCCCCTCCTCAGATGTCTGACTCCCTGCTCTGAGGGTCCCTCCTCTGAGTTCCCAAGGCACCTGCACCTGCCAGGCATCACCCTTCCTGGTTCTGGCTTCCAGATCTGAGGGAGCCCTTCCAAGCTTCTAGATCCTAATAACCATCACTTCCTCCCTTTGTTCCCCCAGCCCTAGGGATGGTGATTGCTTCCTGCAAGTGCTACCTCCTGAGACCTCAGTGCCTCCCTTAGCCTTTTCAGTCCTTCAATTTCTTATATTATGTATTCTTTATTAGAAACGTTGGTTTCTGGATTGGCCTTTGCCTGAATCATTACCACTCTTGGTCCCATCCAAGATAAGGCTAAGCAACATTCCCATACTGCACTGAATATAGCCTCTGGTGAAGGCGTGCTTCCTTCAGGAGTACAAGGCACCATCACTCATGTGCTCTTCAGGGCAGACATAGAGGAGCTGTGGGAAGTCCACTGTCCAGCTTTCAGATCATGCTCTGGGGAGTTGATTAAAAGGAGAGGTGTTCTGACCCCTTCTATTACTTTCTTCATGGCAGAAATTGGGAACTCAAGTTGTCGTTAAATTTAAACTCCTTTATCTCACATGAAAAAGATTTAATCATGAGTATAACATATTTAGTTCATTCAAGACCCTAGGCTCTAAGATTAATTAGCACTGTTCACAAATATTTCCAGTTTTTCTTCTTCCAAATCCATGGTCGGATTACAGTTTCCTGCTCCCTTAAAGTCATAGTCACCGCATGACTTACATTGACCAGTAAATATGAGTGAAGGTAATTTGTGTCACTTCTCAGTGGAAGCGTTAATAACCAGCACATGATTTGCTATCCGTCTCCTTTTTTTATTTCAAAGCAGTGGAAAGCTTGAAGATGAACCTCCTAATGGTTCCCTTAATGAAAATAATCTAGAACAGATCCCAATCCCCCGCCAGCCAATCTTCAGTGGACATAAATCCTACATGTCATTCACACCTCATAGCGAAAATAAATAGGACTCACACTACCTGTCAGAAATTTATAAAGCCAGTCAACAAGATAATGACTACTATTAGGTTCAGAAATGAATCAGAATGAGCTACTGGAAAAACTACATTATTAAATGACTCTGTTAGATGTTGCCTAATAGCCATAGTTTACAATGTAGACAAACAATGACTATTTCCTGGTGTTTACTGGAATTATCTAAAAACACTGACACGATGCGTATGAATTCACTCGTAGCATATTTCAGTTTGACATGTAAGGGGGAAGTGCTTGACAAATTTCTGTGTTTTAGTCATTGAAAACCCAGGCTACAGAATTACTTTTTTTTTTTTCTTTTTTTCGCTTCAAGAAAGGGTATAGCTACTTGAACAAGAGTGACAGCCTGGATGTTGTTTATTCACAGAGAACTATGAAAAAAGAAAAAACAAAACAAAACCTCTGATCTTCATTTAGTGTTGACAGAAGTGGTGAAAGCAGTCAATACCATCAATTTTCAGCCACTGAGTAGTAATCTACTTATTTTGACAGCACAGTGCACAAAAATAAATGCCAAATATAAACACAGCTTTTCCCACACTTAACTATTCTACTGTTGAGGAGAAAAATATTTATGCATGCTTTTTAGAATGAGAAATGAGATAAAATATTGCTTTATACTATAATGTCATTGAATGATACATATGATTTCAAAGGTTCTATACAAATAGCATATCCCAGTATAATTGGTATCTTGAACCATGTAAACCTATCCTTCAGGCCAAGGCATTAGGATTTTTAAGATTGAAGATAAGTAGCTGAGATTTCTAAAGAAGGCCAACCATGAAGGCAAGGGCTTGAATGTCCAGACTCTGACTTCTCCCCACAGCCTGAAGGCTTCCTTCACTCTTCAGAAAACAAAATCAGTGACAAGACTGGATATTTTAATGATCTCAAGATTATGAAGCTTTCCAGGGGTAAACACAAGCAAAGTGTGTATTCATGGTCACTATTTCCCAGGCTGAATCATCCAAACTTTCAGCTTCGCAGGATGATATCTTGCTGATTTACGGTTTGAAGGAACTCCGAACCCTTTAGTGAGAAATCATTCTGTAAGACTCATATGAGGGCATCAGCAAGACCTCAGACTTGAGATATTTATCCATGAGCTGGACAAAATTCCTTGGTAAAGATTATAAAATAATTTTTATGATGGTTTTTAAATACTTCGCTTTATTATTATTGTTTTACAATGTTGATTTTAAAGTCACTTAAAATTGGTAGTTCATTAATGTACTAAATGTCCATTAAGTGATTCAGAGATACTGAACATTTGAGGAGCATGGAGGGATTCCAGTGTTGGAAGCTGCTGGGAAAATTGGGAAATAAGGAGATTGATCTGATATTTTTTAATGAGTGAAAAAAATGTGAAATACAATACTCTTTAATCAAATAGGAATGTATGGTCACCTCACTGCCATTGACTATCTCACTTTTCAGTACCTGGGTTCGCAGAAGCTCCATAAGAGTAAGATTTCCTGTTACTTCTCATAATAGATGACCTTGGACAGGATCCTCCAGGCGCCACACACCTCTCTCATCTGAGCAAACATAGATGAGCTCTTTGTCACCATTTAGCCCCATAAGCCTTTCTAAAAACTTACTGAAGTCAGCTAAGTTCAGGTGGCAAAAATGATGCTTTTATTATGAAAGCAGTGGCCAGAAAATTCAAACCTTTGAGTCACCCAACCTATTTCCTTTAGAATCCGACGCTGAGCCAAGTGGTTTTTATTTTGTCTTCTCAAACTAGGTAACACTCCCTTGCAGCCAACTCTTGGATAACCTGCAGGCAGCTGGGGGCACACCCCACTTTGGGGGGGCAGTTTTCAGACCAGATTTAAAGCCATTTGTCAGGCTTATGTAAGTGACAGCATCAGCAAGAGCCTGGCATGAGCAGGGTGGGAGGCATTCCAGAAGAGACACACTGCGGCAAAAGATGAGGACGGCATGAGAGAAAACAAACAGATGGAGCAGCCGGCACCAGATAGAAGAAGAGAAGATTGCTTCCTGACAGAATTTACAGACGCCAAAAAAAAAAAGGACAGAAAACAAACAACAAAAAAAGAGCAATTCCTTCTTCCGTCTCCACTTGGCCCATGCAGTCACATGAAACCAACGTAACCATGGACGTGGAGGGTTTCCTTTCCTTGGTTTCTGTTACTTTTTCTTCTGCTCAGTCCATGGCTCTTTCCCAGTTTTATTTGTTCATTGAGGCACAGAGACAGTCAAAGTCTCTGCTCTCATGACTTGACTGAGGGTTCTGGAAAGAACTGAATCGCGGCAGAAGGATATCCTCAACTTAATAGCATCTCTGCCAACTCCATGCCATCCATGCCTGAGGGCCCCACATGCAGCAGTCTGGATTACAAGAAGTTCCAAATCCTTCTTGAAGGTGCTCGTTATTATGACCAACCTGTAAACAAAGGACTTTCTAGATATTTAATACATAAAATAAACCCTCCCACCACCGTTTTCAGTTTATAAGAACGGTCTAGGGCCCACTAGTTTCTAGACTGTCAGATAATGAAGTCAGTGGAAAAGTGCACATTTTAATATATTTCATTCTTACCATCAAACAAATCACTCACTGGAGCATCTTTCATCCCAGAAATCTCTAGAAACAAGCCATTGTGATGGAGACTAGGTGGATATGGCAGAAGGCTGTGTTTTCTCCAGCTTTTTACTCTCGGTGATACACTCTTTTAAATAGTGTTTTTTTGTAATAATATGTAACTTGGGGACTGTGATGGCTAATTTTATATGTCAACTTAGCTAGGCTATGGTGCCCAGTTATTTGGTCAAACGCTAGTCTAGCTACTGTTATGAAGTAGCTACATGTGATTAAATCAGCTGGCCTTAAGTAAATAAAATTATCCCCCATAATGTAGGTGGCCTCAACCAATCAGTTAAAAGCCTTAAAAGCAAAAAAAGAGAGATTCCCTAGGGTGTGTTCTGCCTCCAGACTATAAATAGACATTCTGCCAGAACTCACTAACTCTTCACTCTTCCCATTACCTGACCTACAGATTTTGGGACACAAGTCTGCAGTAGTCTCCAGGTCACCTGACCTGTAGACTCTGGACTTGCCAGTCCCCCACAACCACATGAACCAATTTCTTGAAGTAGATCTCTCTATCTCTCTCCCTCTGTTTTTCTCTCTCTCTTTCTCGATACATAGATAGATAGATAATAGATAAGAGATTACAGATCATAGATTATAGATATATCTCACTGATTCTGTTTCTCTAGGGAATGCTGACTAAGGCAAAATGGAAGACTATTTTGGTCACGGAGGCAATCCAATGACTGTCTTTCCAAAAAGCAAGTTTTTGGAAGTTTTGTTATCAGATGTTCAGCACGTACGTGCTCTGGTAGAACTGTGAGAGATTCTGATTCCAAATTCTCCAGCCACCAGGCCAAAGAGTTGGCTTTGAAGCAGAAATCATGGCAGGAAGGAGCACAGGTTGACCAGAATTGCAAAGTTAAAAAGTTCATAGTGTTTTTGATCAGGATTTTTCAAGATATAAAGCAAAAATCTTCCAAAGAAAAAGCCACTATATTAAAACTGGTTAGTGGAAGAAGTTTATTCATTCCTGCACCCATTCAGCATATATTTCTTGAGCATGTAGTATATGCAAAGTAATTAAGATAAATCCCTGTCTTTAGTATTTCACAGTCTGGTGAGGACTGAGGGAGAGACAGTAGTGAGAATGTCACATTTTTCTAGTCATTTTCTTTTCCAAGTCCCAAAATCATGGCCTAGCGTAGACTGAAGTTGTGAAGAATTTCATTTTACTTGAATCCACAATCAACGCCTGTGGAAGCAGCAGTCAAGAAATCAAATGACATATTGCATTGGGCAAATCTGCTGTGAAAGACCTCTTTAAAAGTGTTAAAAAGTAAAGATGTCACTTTGGGGACTAAGGTACACCTGACCCAAGCCATGTTATTTTTAATCACCTCATATGCGCGTGAAGGCTGGACAATGAATAAGGAAGACCAAAGAAGAATTGATGCCTTTGAATTATGGTGTTGCAAAGAATATTGAATATACCATGGATTGCCAGAAGAATGAACAAATCTGTCTTGGGAGAAGTACAGCCAGAATGTTCCTTAGAAGTGAGACTTCATCTTACATAGTTCGAATAGGTTATCATGAAGGACCAGTCCTTGGAGAAGGACATTATGCTTGGTAAAGTAGAGGATCAGTAAAAAAGAGGAAGACCCTTAAGGAGATGGATTGACACAGTGGCTGCAACAATCGGCTCAAACAAAGCAACCATTGTGAGGATGGCGCAGTACCAGCCAGTGTTTCGTTCTGTTGTACATAGATATGGTCGCTATGAGTCAGAACCAACTCAATAGCACCTAACAACAACATATATGCTATAGGGACACAGAGGAGAACACATATAATTGCATCTGGAAGCAAGAATCTGGAAAGCTAAAGATGAGGTCAATCTTCAAGAATGAATTGATATGTTCCAGACAGGAAAGGGGATGGAGAGCATTCTGGAAAAAAGGACCAAAAATGGAAAGTCATGGAGGTATCTGGGAGGTTGTCACATTGAGGAAACAGTGAATAGAATGGAACACACAGGTATGTACATGGGAACTCATTGCGGAGTGGCAGGAAAAGACTCTGAGAAATCAGAGGGATTAGCGCATGACAGACTTCAAATGCCATGCTAAGGAGCAAATCAGTTGTGATGTGATGTGAGATCTGGCATTTAGGAAACTCAGTGTGGCTGGCCATTTGGAGGAACAACTGGAGAGAGACATTTAGGAAACAACTACAATAGGCCAGGCCAAAAAAAAAAAAAAAGAGAGATGATGAGGGCTTGAATTAAAGTAGTGGTTATAGGATTGGATGTGAGGAAACAGGTCAAGGGATATTACTGAGGTAAAAATCATGTTAGTGGCTGATTGGATGTGGATGTGAGGTAGAAGGAAGAGTCCAGTGCGGTTCATCTCAGACTTGAATTATAGGCAAGGGGTGTCATTTCTGAGACAGGGAACATAGAAGTGTGTTCTGAGAGATGATGAGCATGGGTTGGGGCAGACCAAGTTTGGGTATTGTTGGTACACTCAAAGGCAGATATTTCAAGGTCTGGACTAGAGATTTAGATCTGAATGACATTTGACTCTGAAGGCCCTATGAGCAGACGAAATAGACTAGAGGGCCCAGGGGACAGCAGGAAGTAAGTCTAACTTCAGATACCTGAACACGGGTGGATGATTATTTTCTCTATCATTGAAAGAAACTTTATCAGTGTCTTAAAGAAACAAACAAAAACATTGCCATGCAGTTGAATCTGACTCACGGCAGCCCCATGTATTACAGAGTAGAACTGCTCCATAGGGTTTTCTTGGCTGTAATCTTTATGGAAGCAGATCACCAGGCTGTTCTTCCTCAGTGCCACTGGGTGGGTTCGAACCTCCAACCTTTAGGTTAGTAGTTGAGTACAAGCTGTTTACATCACCCAGTGACCTTGTCTCAAAGAAAGTTCAGACAAAATGGCTGAGAGATAAACAGAGAGGATTCTGCACCGTTTGGTGATCCTCCTCTCTGGCAGTGATCATAAGGGACAGATAGAGGGTCAGTGGGCATCCTGAAATCACATATAGCCAACATTAGATCATTAGGTATATTTGTGAAACAATAGTCTCCGTCTCCTTTGAGGTCCCTTGTTGCTGGGAAAGTCCTGAGCCAGAATCTCTTGGCCTCTTGGCTTCTCCTCTTTGGCTGTTTGCTAAGGTAGGCTTTCCCATGGCCCCTCAGCCAGGGCTGGTACCTTCTCTGTCTTCCAAACCCCTCTATGTAGGAAAGTCTGTATCAGGCGGGTCTGTATGAGCCTGAAATCCATAGAAATTGCTCATCTGTCTCTGGTCCTCTGGTTTTCTAAACCAGGACTAAAACCAAAACAAAACCCACTGCCATAGAGTTGATTCCAACTCATAGCGACCATATAGGACAGAGTAGAACTGCCGCATAGGGTTTCCAAGGAGCGCCTGGTGGATTTGAACTGCTGACCTTTTGGTTAGCAGCCATAGCTCTTAACCACTACACCCGCAAACGAGGACTACATTATATTAAAACCATGGAAAGGCAACCCCTCCATTCACTGAACATACTTTCTAGGGGAAATGAAGAGAAACCAATAAAAAGTTTACCTCTTCATTTTGATTTTCTGCCCTGACAGCAGAACATGATCTCCATAAATATTTATTCTCAACCTCACAGTTCATATCAATCAATGTGTAAAAAAACGCTTGACCCAGGGTTTAGTCTCGGTGCTCACCGAAAAAGACTTCTTGGGAGATTATCTTTAAAGGCACATCTCTAGCCAGCAGTTCTTGTCCTCTGACTTTTGTAAAGTTTATGTTATGGGGACAAATGACCTTGCTTTTCCAGTTGGGGCGGCCCTCAGGCTCCTGATGTGGGTCTGCTTCATGGAAGAAGCCAACTCAGAATGGCCACAGCTGCTCGATGTGGATGAGAAGGTATTCCTGATCTGCCGGAGTAATAATTTCAGTGTGTTCTCGGCAGGTTCTCAGTGTGATCCTGTGAGGGTGCCCTCATCCCCTGCGTGATATGTTGTACTTGGAGTCCTTCCCTGCTTCAGTTTCAGTATCAGTCAGAGGGAAACAGCCAAACAACATTCCTTCATGTAGATAACCATAGGCAGCTGGCTACTCCCGGGCTGGCAACCTAACTCCCCCAGCGTGTTCTCACAGCTGGGCTTACTTAAGGGAGAGGACAGACGTTTTCCTGCTCAGAAACACAACTGCTAAACATTACTCCAGTAGCCTCCTTGCTGTCGGTAAAAATAAAACTCTTAGGGCACTTTCCTGGTCCTTTGCTGGAGTGTGCAGAGCAGCAACAACACTGAGTCGCCCAACACACGCGTTTCCAGCTCTCACACTGAAAACAACTATCCATTCCGGGGTCTATGTAATGCCATGTTGTTCGCATTTTTGTGCTTTTTGTTGGTGAATTTGCTATTTAAAATGTACCCCCCACTCCCGGCATTGTGCTTAAATGCTATCTAGTGCTCCTAAGTGAAAAAAAGGCTGTGGGGTGCCTTCCAGAGAAAATACGTGTTAGACAAGCTTCAACCAGGCATGAGTTAGAGGGCTGTTGGCTCTGAGTTCGGTATTGGTGAATCAATAACATACTTAAGGAAGGTATCTTTAAACAGAAGCACACATAAAACAAGTTTATGTATTGATTGGTTGCCCAAAAACTCTTCCGCAAATATTCGCCAGTTGATCTGGGATTCTATTATAATGTGGAATCAGGAATAGCAAACGGTGTTGAAAACAGCTACTACCTTCAGATTATCTGATCTCATGGCGAGTGGTACTGAAGTATACTCGGGTAGGGTGATAGCAATGATGCCTGTTAAACAC